ACCCTCCACGTTCCCCCCCCAGATGCAGCCCCTGCCTGCCCTGGGGCCCCCCCAGCCACCACCGCCGCCGCCACCGCCGCCGCCGTCCACCCCCCGAGCAGCACCCCCTACTCCCAAAGCCTGTGGACTTGTCCCCGTGGGGCGGCTCAGGAAGCAGTCCCAGTGCTGGTTCTGCTGACAGCTTCGCCGAAAATCTATCAGTTCCCACTAGGCTGCTGAAACCCAGGGGTGGTCCCAAGCAGCCCCCACTTCATTACTGTGACATCTGCAAGATCAGCTGTGCTGGTCCCCAGGTCAGCCCCCCACCCCACGCTGGGCAGGCCCTGAATCCCCCTGCCCCCACGGCTAGGAGAGCCCTCCCTTGTCCCCTGTGGCCGGCCAGCGGTCAGGGTCGTTGCCAGCCCAAAAGAGGCCTGTTATTAAACTTGCGATGCCAGGTGCACATCAGGATTACCTTAAGGGTGCTTGGTGTTCTTGTGGAAGACATAGGAGCAGGCACAGAGCTGACTGTTGGCCGCAGAAGCAAGGCCTTGTACCCTGAGGTGCTTGGTAGCCCTGGGGCGTGGTCTGTGCCCCTCCCTGAGGCTAGTCACGCCGCAGGGTGGTGTAGGCAGGGCTGCAGGTGGGTAAGAGCATCCTGTGCGCGTGCGTGTGCTGCTGTCAGCAAAGGACCTTCCCAGCTCACTCCCTGCAAAGACCACAAAACACCACGTGTGGATTTTGTCTTGTCTTTAATACTCTGAGAGAAAGCTGGCGCCATGGAGGCACGAGCAGACTCCACATCGCAGCTACAGAGATAGCTGTGTGGGAGCCCCAACCCCTCACCCAGCCCTGACCTCTCCGGCTGGGGGACGAGGGCCGGGCCGCCCGCGCTCAGGGCTGGGCCGCGGCGTCCAGCACCAGCCCAGACCCCCGGCCGCCAGCCCTTCTCAGAGCGCCCGCCAGAGCCCCTCCGGGTGCTTGCTTCCGCTACACGATACTCACTCTTGGCAAGAGGTTGGTTTTCCCTGTTCCCCTCTTTCTTTCTCGTGTGATTTTTATCCTGTGTGGGGATTCTTGGGTCCTCTCACAGGTCAAACACAAGGTCTGCTCCTGTGATTCTGGACTCCTTGTGGCATCATGTTGAGTGTGTGACACTCCCTGCAGACGTGGGGTGGGACGGAGCATAGGTGCGTGGCCATCACCCACCCGAGCAGGTGTCTCGGCCTCTCTGAGCCTCCGTCTCCCCTTGGGAGCATCAGCTCCTGTCCTTCCCAGCACCGCAGGGTCCCCGTGCCGCCCTTTTCCACTCGCCTCTCCTGCCCCCAACCCGACGCTGCCTCAGACACGGTTAACGTGGAAGCAGCCACACATGGCCTCCCTCAGCATCTGGGAGGACTTGGTCGGTGTGGCCTCCCTGCGGCTGGGGAGCACTTCTGCCTCCTCTCTGAAGGCCAGTCTCTGAGTCGAGGACGGCATGGCTGGCTGAGTGGTCTCAGTGCCGGCGAGTAGAGGGCCGTGAGGGTGGCCTCCAGCTTTAGGGACCGCGGGGCGCCAGGTGGGCCTCTTTCCGACGCTCCTCCGGGTTTTCTCTCATTCCACATCTGATCTGGGTTTATGGTGGCGAGTCTGGCAGCAGGATGACATAAGTGGCAAACATTTGCTCTTTCTGTGAGTTCAGACTCTGCGAAGTGTTTCTGCAGGTCGTCTCATCCTTCTAACCCGTCCTTACCACCTCCGCATGGGGGTGAAGGCTGTGCCCCGAGAGGGTCAGTAAGCTGCAGAGCTGACCTGATGTGGTGGTGGGGACAGAGGTCAGACCCAGCTGTCGTCGCCTCGTGCTTAACTAGTACCACGTGTGCACAAGGCGGCGAGGACCTTACTGTTGGCGTCTTGGCATATATCCTTCCAGACTCGTCTCTGTCCACAGGCTTTACCGTGATGTGCGTGAGTGTGTGTGTGTGTGTGTGTTCTATGGCTTAGATAAAAACAGATTCCTATGTTCCAAGAGCACCCCTCCCACTCCTGCCCCTGCATCTTTCCCGCCCCAGAACCAGCTAACGTCACCAGGTCCTTGTATGTTTTCCAGAGGTGTCTCTGCGCTGTGGGACGTTGACTCTTGGCGTGCTAGAGGGTGCTGGGGCAGCAGCCCACTTTGCCCCGCTGTAAGAGTTCCAAGAGAACGAGTCTGGGACGCCTTGCGAGGGCTCGGTCATTTGCCAGAGGCGCCAGGCCTCTCGGGCGCAGCAGGCGGGAAGCCGGGCCCGGGCGGCGGCCCCTCACGGGCTTCTTCGAGGCGCCCTAGCAGGGATGTGGGCGCCGCATCCTTCCGTAGCACGCGTCCTTGCTTGCTTTCTGAGGTCAGATTCTGAAAAGCCGGAATATTCTTTTAAGCAGCCCCCCAAACTAAATATGTGATCCTCTGAAGATGCTTACTTAAGAAACACATTGAGTTTTAGGACCAAAAGAAAAAAAAGACAAAGAAACCTATGTCTTTAGCCTGAGCTTTTGAGTCTTCTGTTGACTGGGCTCTAAGCGGTGGCACACAGAACTCTTGGAGGCCTGCGAGTGGAGGGGTGGGGACGTCAGGCCCCCGAGAATTGTGGGGATGGCACGGTGCCCAGTAGTCACACACACCCCTCAGGCCGCCCTCGCTCTCTGCCAGCAGACCTACCGTGAGCACCTGGAAGGGCAGAAGCACAAAAAGAAAGAGGCGGCTCAGAAGATGGGCGTCCAGCCCAACGGCAGCCCGCGAGGGGTGCAGGCGCAGCTGCACTGCGACCTGTGTGCCGTGTCCTGCACCGGAGCAGAGGCCTACGCCGCCCACATGCGGGGGGCCAAGCACCAGAAGGTAGGAGCCCTGCGCGGGGCATCCGATGACCTTGGGGGACAGCCACCCACGAGAGGGAGCTTCCCCTGCGGGCCCGTATGTGCTCCTTCCTCAGAAGCCAAACCCCTTCTTACAGTTTTAAAAGTCACACCTGCTCCTGAACAGAAGCAGACAGCAGGGCAGCTCGTGCCCAGACCCCAGAGGGACCTGTTCTTGGCCTCGCGTGTGTCTGTATGTCTGTATGAACCAGAGTCTGCACGTTGATAAGATGAAATGGTGTGTTCCATTTGGGGGGGGTCTTTATTTTTTAAAAATAAATTAGTAAGTTATAATATTTTAATATCCAAGTTTTAATTAATATTAAATTATTTAATATCAGTGTTTTTCATATTTATTACTATTTTAATACCTACATTCTCCTGTGGCCTTAAAAATGCCTGTAGTATGTCGTGTTATGGGGAAATGAATGGGCCCTCCCACCTGAAAGGAGGGAGGACCCTCCCCGTGTGCTCTTCCTGTGGCCCAGTGGTGCTTTATGGAAAGCAGCGAACCTCCCCCAGATGCTGTTGTGAACCTGCAAGGTGATGCTTACCTTAAGGATGTGTGTTGAAGACAGGAGGAATGGGGTGCCTGGTGGGGTGCCTGCTTCCTGCTGAGCCGAGCAGTTAAGAGCGAGAGGATTAGGAAGGCCCCTCTTCCGTGGCCACTGCAGTCTGCCCTGTCCACAGAACCTCATCCAGCTGCCCCAGCCCACCCTGTCCCCCTTCAGCCCCCGCTGCAGGCTGGGCCTCCCTGAGCGCCCACCTGGGGACCTGCCTTCTCCCCTGACTCATCAAGGCTTCCTTCGCTGGCCCAGCGAGGACAGGCTCTTGAATGTCGGAGCGAACCCACACACCCCACCAAGAAGGAGCAGTGAGGCGTGGAGAAGGGGACACACTGGCCTGGCGGTAGCAGGGGTGCAGGTGGGAGAGGTGGCACCCAGGCCAGGTGGGCTACAGGTGTCAGGGCTCCCAGGCCAGCACTTGTTCTGGGGTCAGGACGCAGGTTTGAGCCGTGAGAGTCAGAGACTCTGAGCCTGAGATCGTGTCTGAGATGGTCTTTGGTGCCATCGGTGCGGACTCTGAGGGCAGGGGAACAGCCCTTTCCAGCCAGGGGCTTTTGCAGTGAAGTGCCTTTGGCGGGGGCGGGGAGGGGGCATGCCGAGGGGGTAGTGACCGTATCCTAGGTGAATCTGTGGACACGGGCGTGTGTATGCGTTCCCATAGAACGTGGATGTGTCCATGGGCATGTACACGCTTGTGTACAGAATGTGGACACCAGCTGCAGGTGTGTACCCGGGCACATCTTAGCAGGCGGCCCCTGTCCACACATTCATCCGCACGTGCTTCAGCTCTCCCTGGGGCTGCCACTAGGCTGGTACTTGGGTGCTTGAAAAAGCCCTGCTTTTCAGCCCCGGTTGGTGGAGTTCAGAGGAAGGGGGTCCCCGTAAGCCAGCAGAAGTGTCCAAGCACTACAGGTTCGTCACCCGCACTAATGGTCTAGAAGCAGGAGACAGCTCAGGAGGGCCTTCCCAGGAGCGATGCCCCAGAGAGCAAAGGGACTTAAGTGGGAGCTGGGGACGGGAGAGGGTCCCGGGGGCTGGGATGGGACCACTGCCCGCGCTTCCACAGGCTGCCAGCTGCACCTAGCCAGGTGCTCTTCCCGCCCTGGGGGAAGGCTGGTCAGGCCTGAAGGGGCCCTGACGAGGGCCTGGTCTGTTCCAGGTCTTCAAGCTGCACACCAAATTGGGGAAGCCCATTCCTGCCACAGCACCGGCGCCAGGGAGCGCCAGCTCGGCCCCGGCCTCCTGCACCACCGAGAGCCCCGCCGCGGCCCCTGCTGGCCCTGGAGTGTGCGCCCCAAGCCAGCCAACGCCCGCCAAGAAAACTGTGGCCTCGAAGGCCTCCTGCGTAGGTATGTGTCTCTGCTTCACAGTCCGCCCCCTCCTCCCCCTCCACTCAGCCAGTTTGAGCTTCAGAGACGGGATTGTCCAGTGACTATGTGTATGGTCGTCAGTTCTGGGAGGCACGACCTGTGAATGCGGGCGGGGACGGTGGGCGGAACACTGTTCTCTCCCAGATCCCCACCTGGCGGGGTGCACCCGGCTGCCCTGTCTGCTCTGGGAAGCCTTGGCAGAACCAGTGGAACGGCAGCTTCCATTTCTTCTCCTGAAGCTTGGGACGGAGCCAGGGTGCTGGCCATGCTCCAGAAGCCCTGCCCCAGGCCTGGAGAACCCCACGTGCTGGAAGCAGCCCCCTCACACCCCGTGCTCTGATGAGTCACGTGGGCACCAGGGAATTAAGGCGGGCTCCTCGCAGCCCCTTCCCTAGCCCTGCCTTCTCCGGTGTGAGTCACACGCCTCTGCTGTGACCACAGAGGCGTCATGGCTGCCGAGGGACGTGTGCTGTGTGGGTTACGCGGCTTATAAGTCAGGTGCCCACTTCACTCACGGCTTCACATGTGGTGCCCGACTTACCCTTTGCAGCTCCTTAGATTTGTCATTAGTCCCTTGATAGATGGAGACCTGGGGAGAGGTGAGGTGAAGCAGCTGGCCCCGAGGCCCCCGTGAGCAGCGGAAGTGGGATTGGAATGCGAGCCTGTGGGCCAGTCTCTGCTCTCCGCCACTTTGCAGGGGAGAGGGGGAGACTTATTTTATTTTGAGCCTCGGCAGTACTGCGTTTTGAACAGAACATGATATTTAAGATCAAATCATAAAGCAGTTTTGGTGACAAAGAATTGTCTCCCTGCCAAGGCTCAGTGAACTTGCCTAATGGGGCTAGGTTGAACATGACCCTGGCCCACCTGGGGTTCCATGGTCGGTTAATAAGGGCTGCAGACCGTGCACTGTTAGGGGGTCCTCAGCGAAGGGCCTGCCACCCCAGCCTTCCTGTGGGCACATCCACCTTGGCCCCGAGGGCCGTGAGGGCCTTGCTCTCCCTGTCGTGACCCAGGCTGGTGGGAAAGGGTCTCACAGGGCCATGGAGCCCGCTGGCTGATGTCACGAGGGAGTGAGGGGGCAGCAGGAGACCTGGTGGTGGTACGTCCTACCCTCATGCTGGTGGACTGGGAGCCAGCTGTGGTTTCTGGCTGGGGCGGGTTATCAGTAACACTGTCCTCCCTTCCAGGGCCTCCTGCGCTGCAGGCAGCAGACTGCAGACCCCTGGAGGGGAAGCCGACACACCCCAGATCAGAGCGGCCCGGAGAACCGCCTGCCTGTGGGGGCCCTGCAGAAGCTTCTGGAAGCTGCAGTGGTGCACAGCCGGTGGGCCCAGGCTACGTGGAGGAGGTAACTCTGCTGGAGACAATGTGTGTCCCGCCGCCAGCTCTCCCAGCTCCACCCTGGCTCTGGTGGACAAGGGCCTGGTGGGGGTCAGGCCTCAAAGCCCCGTCCCAGTTGTTCCCCTGAGATTTGCACCCTGCCCCGCGCAGACCTCAGTGAGCCGAAACACCGCAGGGGTCTCACTGTAAAGCCCGGCGCTGGGCTTCAGGTCTTAGAAGAAAGGCTCAAGGCAGGCAGAGGCATCTCCGGCCATGGGGCGGCCCCTTGTCCTGCGGGAAGGAGGGATCCATGCCCTGGGTACCCCACAGACACGCCATCCTCAGGCACCGGAGCCAGCGTGTGCCCCACACAGCGCCTCCCGGATACCTGTTGCCTTGTGGAGCTCAGGGTCGCAGCCCGTCCCGCCAGCCTGTCCCGCGCCTCCAGGGTCGTGTGTGTGGGCATTTCTTCTGACCCCACATTCGTGCTCTTGTTCAACTGACTCAGCTCCTTCTGTTTTTGTCCCCTGCAAAGTCACCGCATCAGGCAGTCTTCCTGCTGCCGGAGACCCCGTCATCTGATAGTCAAGGGGATAAAGTGCAGAGAAGCCGCAGGAAACAGAGATCAGGACAGGAAGAGGGGGCTCGGCAGGGCAGGGCAGGGCGGGGAGGGGGCAGCACGGTGGTGGCCGCGGGGGACCTGGGCCTGGGAGGGCCCGCTGGTGAAGTGCAGCTCCTCTGAGTGCCTAAAGCAGACAGGAAGCCAGCACGCGGCCTGCAAGGCCCTCAGGGGAAGGAGGCCCCCCGGTGGGCCCAGACCCACCAGGTGGGGGGCTCGGGCAGCACTCAGCTGAGCCCTGTGTCCCAGGTGTGCAACGAGGAAGGCAGAGTGATCCGGTTCCACTGCAAACTATGCGAGTGCAGCTTCAACGACGCCAACGCCAGGGACATGCATGTGAGGGGGCGGCGGCACCGGCTGCAGTACAAGGTGGGCTTGGGGCATCTGCGCTCTCCTTGGCTCACGGCTCAAGACACGCCTTTTGCCTCTGGGAGGCTGAGCCCCTGGGCCTTTCGGCACCATGGGCTCAGCCAGAGGGGCCCTCAGCTGCCTCATGAGGCCTCCCCGCCGCGGGTTTGCTGGAGGACGCGTGTCCATGGGTGCGTGTTTACACTCACATGCCTATTGGGCCTCAGGCACTCGTGTGCACAGCACACACCGCACTCTCCTCGGGATAAACAAGGCCTCTGGGCACCTCCTGCTCTCAGCGGCCTCGTTGAGATGTTATTCACATGCCACACAATTCACCGTCTAAAGTGGCTTCTACTACATTCATCAGAGTGTGCATTCTATCACCCCAAAAACAAACGCCATTCTCTTTAGTAGTCACTCCCTTCCCCTCCCCCAGCCCCTGACAACCAGGAACCCCCTCCCTGTGTCTGTGGACTGTCCTGTTCTGGATGCCCCGCATCCACAGATCACACACTGTGTGTCCTTCTGTGTCTGCTTCTCTCCCTGAGCACCGTGCTCTCAGGGTCCGTCCACGTGGGAGCGGGTGTCAGGGCTGCTCTCCTGGTCATGGCTGAGCGATGCTCCCGTGTGTGGAGGGACACGTGGTGTGTATCTGTTTCACCCACCAAAGGGCACTTGTGTTGTTTCCACCAGTAGATAATCCTTAGACAACACTATACTCTCTGAGTGATGAAATTAAGTGCTAAAAGAAAGAAGCCCAATGAGTGAATTAGCGATGCTGTTTAGCATATGCCTTGCCGGATTCCACTCTGTTGTATTTCCCTGAATTCCTCTGTTGGGGACGAGCATTTCCAGTGCATACTTGGTGAACACCCGTGACCACTGATGGTGGTCGCTCTGCGCTATCCCCGTGCCTTCTTCCTCTGCTCCTCCGTCAGACACGTGGACAGCTGGGTGTGCTGTGGGTGGACGTCACACCTGTGGCTCTGCGAGTCAGTTGTCATTTTGTTCCCCGAGGTGGCCCCCTTTCCTGCCATGGCCTTTGGGGACAAAGAGTGTTGAGACTCTGGGGACTGGAGCTCCCCACTGTCTAAACCCTGCAAGAGGGTGTTGGCGGTGGGGGCTCCCCAGGCCCCAAGGCTCACCCAGCATTCTCGTCTGAATGAAGGTCCCTGATCTTTCCAGAAAAAAGTGGACCCTGATCTCCCCATTGCCGACAAGCCCAGCGCCAGGGTCCGGAAGCTCCTGGAGGAGAGGCTGAGGAAGCAGCGACAGCTGACCAAGCGGCGGCTGGGGGAGCTGCGGCGCTGGCACAGCGAGATGAGGTGCGGCCTCCCCAGCCCACGGGCCTCGCTCAGCCGGGGCCGCGCGGGAGGCTGCGCGCCTCCCACGTGACAGGCCCAGGGGTTCTGCGGCTGCCACGGCTCCTGGTCCCTCTCATCCTGGCAGGCGCTACGACTTGTGCAAGAGGCGTCTGGAAGAGGAGCCGCAGGTCCAGGATGCGCACTCCGCTCGCTCGCCACCCCCTCAGCACCTGCTTCTCCTCAGGAGCAGGCCGGGTGTGCCCGCAGCCAAGCCTCTGGTGGGTGGTAGTCTTGTCTTGGTGCCTGAAGGCCTCCTGTCACAGAGCCACTGACCCTCACTAGAAGGATCTGAATCCTCTAGGAATGAGGAGCAGGTCTTTGTACCAAGACCCCAAGGGATGCTCAGGGGTGGGAGATGGAGGGGCCTGAGGGCCACGTACAGGAGCCCCAGCCCCAGCTCCACCTCCAGCCACAGCAGCCCCTTACGCTTCCTGCGGCCCCGGTGGTGACATCCCTTGGGACCTTTGAGTGTCTGTCCAGGTGGGCCTGGAAGGATGGGATGGGAACCGCGGGTCGCACCCTGCTGAGGGGTGGGGCCCACCAGCTGCCTTGGGAGCCTCTGGCTTAGAAATGCGAGAATGTCACCTGCGGAGCCCACTGGCCACCCACTCAGCCTGACCTCCCGGCACCCATCGGGGGCCCGCGGGTCCCTGCCGGTTCACCTCCCCCGTGGGCCCTGTCACTCCCCTGCCCAGCTCACCAGCTGCTGCCTGCCCGGCAGCCCCAGAGCCAGCCTGGCTCTGGGGGGCCCCCACGCCTCTGTGGGCTGACACCTGTCCTGTCCCCACCCTCTGGGTCCCCAGGACCTCTCAGCCCGCCCTGACCTCTCCCCACAGCCCACGAGGCGGCCGGAATCCAGCGACGACCGGCACGTCATGTGCAAGCACGCAGCCATCTACCCCTCAGAGGGGGAGCTCCTGGCAGCGCAGAAGGCCGTCTCCCACTCGGAGCGCGCCCTCAAGCTGGTGTCCGACACGCTGGCCCAGGAGGACTCCGCGGGCCCAGAGCCGCAGGGTGGGGAGCACAGGTAATGGACGTCGCCCTCCTGTCCAGAGCACCCGGTTATGGGCAGCCGGGGCTGCTCACCCCCAGGCAGGGCTTGGGTCCAGACAAAAAGTGGCTGCCAGGAGGGCAGAGGCGGGTGGCTTCGTGCCTTCTGGGTCCCTGGGAGAAAATTCCCCAAGGGAGTCTCGGAACTGCAGCCCCAAGGCTCAGAGGGAGTCCAGTCCCAGCTGGTGAGAGCTGTTGTCCTGACACCAGAAGTTACTTTTCCTGTCGAAGGCGCATCTAGAAATGTAGTTGACAGAGGATCAGCCACCTGTGTCTCCTCACCTGCAAGACGGAGAGAAGCGGTCCTGACCGGCTTCCGCCTCCCAGAGCCGCGAGCCTCCGCGTGGATCGTTATGGCCGCCGCGACTGCCGGGAGCCGGGCAGGTCCCAGTGCCGGGCGTGAGTCGTCACACGGTTTAAAGAATCAGAGAAGGAGTTAGTTAGCTTTTCCGAGTCCCTTCTGTCTAGGTGGCCTCTTTTTCTTTTTTAAGGGTTTGATTTTTTTTGGTGGTAAAATGCTCATAACATGAAATTTGCCATCGCAACCAATTGTCAATGTGTTTAATACTACAGCACTAAGTCCATTCACAGGGTTGTGCAACCGTCACCACTGTCCACTTCCAGAACTTTTGCATCACCGGAAGCAGAAATGTGTCCCGTGAAGCTCCCCGGCCCTGGCCCGGCCCCCCGCACCCACCCTTCCGCTCCCTCGCTCCGTGGCTCGGCCTGCTCCGGGCGGCTCACGTCGGCGGACTCACAGCACCTGGCCTTGGTGTCTGGCCGATTCCAGTCGGTACCTTCTTTTTGCCACAGTGTTTGCTCCCCGACAAGAGCGCAAGAGCTACTCGGGGTCGCCAGCTGAACTCAGGAGCCTCCCCGGCTCCGCACGGTGTCTTCTGGAGGAAGAGGCGCCCCTCACTCAGCCCTGGTGGTTTCCCTCCCGTTTCCTCCCCGTGCTCGTGCTCGTGCTTTGTTTTGATAGTTGTTTGACCTTATTTTGAAAGAAATATGTACGCGAAGCAGACATAACATGCAGGGGGCCCAAGCCCCTTTCCCCCTGAGGCTTCCCAGCACCGACATCACGCAGCCTCTCATGTGTCAGTGCCGGGCGTCCATGTGGGCACCTCGGGGACCCCAGGCCCTGCCTGGGCCTCCCCCGCTGTGCGGACGCATGTGCCCGCGCAGTGAGGGCGGGAGCCTGCTGCCGGCAGAGGGGCCTGTGCTGCCCCCAGCCCCACGCTTCCCCTCAAACCCAGCTTGAAAGCAGAACTGACTGCACTTTTTTAAAGCCTTCACATGACATTGATGGCAGGTTACATGCTTCGCCCGAGACATTGTTCAAAAACACAGAGGTGTGGTTTGGGGGTTTTCACTATTCTTTTGGTCTTTTTCACTACGGAAATGTGTTTTTTAATAGGAACACGATAAACCGCCCAGTGGCTGTTCCGTTGTTTACCTAGCTGTTGCAAAGCTTATGTTAGTGTTTGAGGATTTTTTTTACTTTTATTGTGGAAATTCTCTAACACACCCACAAGGTGACAAGCCCCAAGTGACCATCCCTAAACCCGAATGACTCACCTGCTCTCTGCACCCTCCCCTCCACCCACAGCCCTAAAGGAAACCTGTGGGACCCAGTATCAGGCATCAGCCCACAGCTGGAATGGTCTCTGAAGGACAGCTCCTTTTCGTTTAACAAAAGCACAATGCCACTGTCACACTTGAAAAGAATCAACAACAGTTCTTCAGCGGGTCAGACACCTAGTCAGTGCTGAGACTTGCAGCTGCCCCACGGACACCGTAATGCGGGTTTTCTGTTTGGAGTTTTCATTGTATTCTGCAGTTTGTGTGAGTCAGGATACAAAACAGCCTGTAGGTCTGCTTGCCTGCAGGCGCCCTGCCCCCGGCCCTCTCTGCTCCCTCTTCCCTTGAAGGTTCTGGTCCTTGTCCTGTGGGCATCCTAGGCCTGGGCTTGGCCGGCCACCTCCCGGTCTCCCCTGCCCTGTGGGTGTGACCAGGTCCCCTCATCACAGGCTCCAATCAGAGGAGAAACACACAAACACATTACAAAATAAGGTCATCTCCTGTCCTGAGAAGGGTCACAGAGAAAATAAGATGGTGATGAGGGAGTGGCAGGAGCGGATGGCACTTCTAGAGTCAAGGAAGGGACATTGTGCTGCGATAGCTGTGGACACCTGCCACGCAAGAGCACCCAGGTGGCCGTCTGTGGGGCTGGAGCCTCAGGAGGGAGTGAAAGGAGCGGATGGTGACAAGATGGCCGGGGGCCAGGCTGGGGGCCTCGGGCCCAGGGAAGAAGCTAAGGTGTCCCCAACCTGCAGAGGGACAGCACCAGGAGGGTGGCTGCCGGACAGACGCGGTGATGAGATTCACCTGCAGAAAGTGGCCAGGATGGTGCGGTGCAGGTGGGGGCACGGCAGTGAGGCGGGGGTGGCTGGGCCGCCCGGCCTTGAGGGAGGGAGGGCAGGGGAGCCCGGGCCTCCTCAGAGGAGTCGGGGTGGAGACAGAACAGCCCCGGAGATGGCTCAGAAGGAGCGCAAGCCAAGGGCTGACGAAGTGGCCCCGCTGACTGAGGCCCGGGGCGACAGGAGGGTGGCTGCGGGCGGCCTTTTCCAGAAGGCAGTTTATTAGGTGACAGCCATGGCTCCTCCGAGCAGCACGGTTTCCCAACCACAGTTCCCAGCGTTTCTCCCAGATCTGTCCCCTCGTGTCCCCTGCGATCAAGTGCCCTCTGAGAAGGGCCATGCTCCCGGTTGACAGATGAGGAGGTGCAGGCACACAGCGGTCTGGCAAGGGGCTCGTGTCCTGGGGCCGAACAGAGGCCCTTGTCCCCACCTCTGCTCCCTCTGCTCATGTGTTTGTGGATTTGCCTTCGCAGCTGCCCTGGCCCCTCCGCTCGGATCCTGAAAGGCGTGATGCGGGTCGGCCTCCTGGCGAAGGGCCTCCTCCTGCGGGGCGACAGGACTGTGCAGCTGATCCTGCTCTGCTCCCAGAAGCCCACCCGCACCCTGCTGCGCAGAGTCGCTGAGCAACTGCCCCGCCAGCTCCCGGTGAGAGGCCAGCTGGGTATCGCGTCCTTGCTATGCGAGTTTCCATGTTAGGCACAAACCAGTTTGTTTCTAGAAATAAGAGACAGTGGTGGAACCTGAGGGTTCCTTTACAAAGAGGGTTCAGGGAAGAGCTCGGAAACAGTCTAAATGTGTGGCCACAGAGGACAGTGACTTCTCTCACATCTGGGGCCAGGGTCACTTTGGTTTCTTTCTGCAAACTATCACTTCCCAGTTTTGTTGAGTTGCTGATCTTGTTGTTGAGCTGTGGGTGTTCTTTACATATGAAGGCACCTTGATGCTGAGTCTGTCATCTATACTCATTTCTACGTGTGCACTTCTGGAGGGTGGGGCTGTGTTTCAGTCCCTAGGAGGTTCCAGGTGCCAGGCACAGGACCTGGCACCCGACCACGTCCTGCCTCTCAATGGGAGTAATGCGGCCTCCTGTTGTATTTGCACCTTGTAGATGGTGACAGAGGACAAATACGAGGTCTCCTCCGACCCTGAAGCCAACATCATCATCTCTTCCTGTGAGGAGCCCCGGATGCAGGTCACCGTGTCCATCACCTCACCCCTGATGCGAGAGGACCCCTCTGCAGACCAAGGTGCGGTGGGGCCCTTCTGTCCAAGCCCCCCTCCCCACATACACGGCAGTCTAGGGCAGCGTCTGCCTCTGTTCTGTGGAGAGGTTGCCACTGCCAATTTCCAGCACTTCTGTCAGCCCCGGATCTCCTGGTCAGTTAAGGGCTGGGCCTTGGGGCATGGGAGGAAGTGGGCAAGGGAGCTGTGACAGTGTCAGGTGGCTCACAACCCGCTGTGGGGTGCACAGCACCCTTCTTCCTGTGCCTCCAGGCCATGCAGGCACCTGCTCCCCACCCGAGGGAGACCAGCTCTGCCGGTCCTCCAGCCGAGGCAGGGTCCCAGGGGCCTGAGGCAGATGAGCATCTGAGAGAGTGGGAGAGGGTGTGGGGCGAGGCCAGAGGGCACTGACAGGGAGGGTGCAGGCCAGGTGGCCAGGGACGCAGCGGGCGTCTCATCCGGCCATGGAACCTCCTGGAACAGGACTGTTCCCAAACTCCAGTCATCCTTGGACCCCCTTGGTGACAGCTGTCTGGTCACAGCCTAGGGGCACGAGCCACTGACGCTCTCCTTTAATCAATTCCTTTTTGACACTTAAATTTTTAAAGAGGAAAGCCTTTGAGCCGTAAGTGGAAAGCCATTACTAGTCACCATAAGGAGAGAGCTATCTGAAAATAAACACAGCGGGAAACACAGTGCCACCCTTCAACTCTGGCGGAAGGCCCAGTGAGGCCCTCCTCCCGCACAGACAAGTGGGTGTTGGGAGTGTCAGGAAGGGTCCAGGGTCCAAGGTCACCGAAGGAGGCAGATCAGAGAGGGCGAGAGAACCAGGAACCCCTCCGCGTGAGCCCTGGGTTCCCAGGAGTTACTCCTCACTCGATGTCCACAGCCCGCTGGCTGCTGCTGGGAGGGGAGCTTTCGGCTTCTTCTGCCGTTTGCTCTCAGCCAGAAGGAGCAGACCGAGGCCTGGGTCGGGAAGTGGGGAGCATAGTTTGTGGGCGAAAGAGAAATCTGTTCCTGCCTGTGACCTGAAAAGCCAGGGCTCCTAGGATGAGGGGAGCAGAATATTCTTGAAGCAAGAAGAACCAGGTCGGAATCTCCCTCAGACACGAGGCCCTGCTCAAGTCTGACCCACTGTCTCCCTTTCAATCGTGCATGAGGAAGTTTCTGGAAATCTGGCTTCATGCATAGTGTTCCATCTGAACTGCAGTTTGCTAGCCCAGGGAGTCAGCGCTGACGGTGCTGGGGGACGAGCGCGGAGCTCCTTCCTCGGAGGAGCCCGGAACGTCGGGGGAGATGGGATTCCCGTGGTCTCTGCAGCACCCCGAAGGAAGGGCCATCAGGGAGGGACCGTTGTCTTCTGGATAAATGCAACGAGGCCTCCAAACTGAGTCCAGGAGGTGGGAGCCCGGGAAGGGGTGCCAGGCCCACAAGCCTTTCTCTTCTAGAAGGAATGGAGGGCCCTCCGCCCGACCCGGGCGACGTCCTGAGCCCAGAGAGATGCCTCCAGTCGCTGGCTGCCCTCCGCCACGCCAAGTGGTTCCAGGTCAGGGGGCGGGGGCTGGAGGGGGCCCAGTACAAATGGGGGTTAGACGTGTGGGGTGGCTCCCTGGCTGGTGGCTCGGCTCACGTGTCCTTGTCCAGCGGTAGCCTAGTGGAGGTTACTTCCCGGCTGACTGGGTTGGGAACTTGAAAGGAATGACCACCGCTCTAGGAGTGGGGGCACCACCCCGTGGCCGGCACGAGAGCTCAGACCTGGGCCAGGTGGCTTGGCCTGGGCCATGTGGGAGTGGACTCCGCTCCCAGCCACCTCCCTCGAGGCCAGCCCATGCCTCCTGGAGTCCTTCACTGCCTCCAGGATGGGCCCCCCGGCGGGCTCTCTGCCCAGCTTCAGCCCTTCCTCCCTCCACCCCTCTCCTGTGGCACAAGCACGTGGCTCCCGGGAGCTGACTGTGCGCTTCTCCCCGAAGGCCAGAGCCAGCGGCCTGCAGCCCTGTGTGATCGTCATCAGGGTCTTTCGGGACCTCTGCCAGCGCGTGCCCACCTGGGGGGCCCTGCCGGACTGGGTAAGGCAGCACCGGGCGGCCAGCCTGTAGCCCTGAGCCTCATTTCCTGGTTGGGCACTCAGGTCTCCACGAAGGGGCCGGGGTCAGCCTGAGCGCTGGGAGAGGTGGAGCGGGCTGGGGCGTCTCGGAGTCCTTTGGCCTCAGGGCGAGGCCTGCTACAGGGCACACACTCATTTGACTGCATTATCTTAAAGCCACAACCTCAAGGCAGAGCCAGGGAGCATGCAGACACAAGGGCGCCCCAGGGAAGGTGGGGTGTTTGCCCAGACCTGCGGGCGCCTGCAGAGGGCAAGGATGGCCGCTGGATACTGTCCTGGTGCAGCCCCACCTCCTCTGGGGGGGCGTCCTCTGGGCTTTTGACTCCCGCAGTCAGCAGGCCCTGGAGCCCGTCTAGGGTGGAGAGAAGAGAAGATGCAAGGCCCCTGTGTCCCCCAGATCCCCAGGCCTTCAGGCTGTGAGACCCCAGCTCCTGCTCTCTCTGGGGTTCCTCCACCCCCTGTTTGGAATTTCAACACATCTGTGCGCCCCTCGGCGAGTCTTGTGCCTGAGTGTCCCTCTCCTGGCACAGACCCAGCAGTCCCTCAGCCACAGTGGACGATGTTATCCATGGGAAGGGGGCCGCGCTCCCTGACCTCAGAGGGACGTATGTGTTTTACATTTGGCCCTCTGCTGCCAGCTCATTGGCTCCCATCCCCAAAGGTGGGTTCTTGGACCCTTCCCGCCCTGACCCTCGCCACCCTTGGCTTTACTCATGGGGGCCATCTCCAAAATCAAGGGCTCCAGTGCCTGCCAAACCTCGGCTTCCTGCCCAGGGCCCAGGGAGGCCTCCACTCTCAGGACCGCCCCCTGTGGACAGCACAGTGGTCAGCCCTATGCTGAGTGACAGCGGGCTTCTCTCTGACGCTGGGGGGCCCTGTTCCCCACAGCCCATTTCTCTGTAAGGGTAGACAAACCCCCCATGACGGCTCACACGTCCAGCTCTGCCCTCAGAACCTGCAGGTAGGTGGCTTCTTGGAGGAGGAGACAGGCCTGAGTGAGTCCCTGAGTCCCCGTGACCCTCCTGACCCTCGCTAGCTGAACCTTCGGTCACAGAGAACAAGTTTCTTTTAACCTTGGTGATGCTAGATTGCAGTGTTACCATAGACGGGATTTTGCCGATGGGGAAACTGAGGTGAGAGAGTGAAGAAACCTGCTCGGGGCCACACCAGGAGGTGGCAAGGCCCAGTGACCACCCTTCCTGTAGGGGCCCCGGGTGGGTGGGCGAGGCTGGAAGAGCTGAGAGGGGCCTCCCTTCCGGTCCCCTGGAGAGCCCGGCCCAGCCGCAGGACTGCCTCTCCTCCAAGGCACGCACAGTTCTCCTTTTCTGTCCCCACCGGCCCAGGCCATGGAGCTGCTGGTGGAGAAGGCTCTGAGCAGCGCGATGGGGCCTCTGAGCCCTGGGGACGCCGTGAGACGGGTCTTGGAGTGCGTGGCCTCGGGGACGCTCCTGACAGGTCAGTCTGCGATGGCCATGGAGCCCAGAACCCTGGAGCACGTGGCAGAGACCAAGGGCCACCATGGGGGGTAGAGGCACCTCATCAGGACACTCTAGAACCTGGTCCAGCCGAGGCAGGACGGCAGAAGCAAACACGCACACACGTGTCACTTAGAAGGGAGCCATGCGGAGGCGTGGGTGGGCCAGGAAGGAGAGGTGGGTGCAGGCTGGAGGGGAGGGGTCCCCCGATGGCACGGCCACCCTTTCTGGGGAGCCGGGGACAGCCCAGGGGACATTTCTGAAGGAAACAACCGGGAGCTCCCTGATGGGCTGTGTACAAAGATGTTCACCACAGCGTCGTTCGCAGTAGCAGGGGTTGGGGGAGAGCGTGTGTGCTGCCCACAGGACATGCTAGATGCGAAATGCTTTCCAGTCATGGTAGCAGCATGGGATGGTAGTGTATGAAGTGACGAAGAGGATGACACACCGGCCCGCCGTGTGAGCCTCTTAGTGTAACTCACATTCGCACATGCATGCGCACAGGCGCGCGCGCACACACAGGCCGAGAGGAGCTCTGCTGAATGCGTGTGGGGACGCAGGGAGGACCGGCCCAGTGCGGCCCGTGGGCACGTGGGGTCCTGGTGCAGACCCCGCAGCGCTGCAGAGCCGCGGTTGCAGCCTTCACAAGGGTGCCCTCTCCTTCTTTGCTGCCCCCACATCCCCTGGCAAAGATGGGCCCGGGCTCCAGGATCCCTGCGAGAGAGACCAGATGGACGCCCTGGGGTCCATGACCCTCCAGGAGCGGGAGGACATCACAGCCAGTGCCCAGGTAGGAGGCCGGCCCACGAGGCTCCCCGACTCGGGCCAGCTCACCCGGCTGTAGGCTGCCCAGGTCCCAGCCCCCGTTTGCTTCTGCTCTGCGTCCCTGGGAAGCGGCTCCCCTTTCCCCCTTCCCTTCAGAGACAGGTGGCCTGTGGGTGAGAGGCCTGCTACCGGGGGCAGGGCCAGCCTGGCCCAGAACCAAAACTGCCCTTGTGCTGAGGTCCAGGCTTGGGGCCTCACGGCTGGGACTCTCGTGGGTCCCCTAGCCCCGCCCCATGGTCTGGAAACACCCAGTCAAGGCCTCCAGGCCTCAACAGCCTCCAGCACCCAGCAGAGCCCCCTCTGTGGTTTCCCTTTCATTTGCAAGTTTATTTATAAGAAAGACTCCTAGCAGTAAAAAAAAACTACATTGGGCCTGACGTTGATGAATTACCTTTAATGGAAAGAGTCAGATTGCTCATGATCAGAGCCGAACGGGAGAGACAGGGGCTGGGGTCCCTGTAGCCAGGCGAGGAAGGACTGATTTTCCAAAGGGCTTCCAGGCAAAGTCCTCGCCCTCAGCTGGCCCAGGTGGCTCCCAGCACAGGTCCTCACGCCCAAGGGTGACTTAAGCTTGGACTCCCAGCTTGCCCCCAAGTCCGCAGAGGGTGCGGGCAGGAGGGTCCTGACCGGCTGTCTGCCCCCAGCACGCCCTGCGCATGTTGGCGTTCCGGCAGATCCACAAGATCCTGGGCATGGACCCTCTGCCGCCCCCCAAAAGCCGGCTGGGGGCGCGCTTCCGGAAGAGGCCGCGGGAGGCGGGCGAGGCCGAGGAGGGTGCCGGTCAGAGGAAGCGGGCCGGTGGGGTGGAGAGGGGCCCCTGTGAGCAGCCTCGCCTCCCCAGCGGAACCTGACGGGCCGCTAAGTGGCTGCTACGCCCCTGACATGGGACACTTGTGTTTTCCTTTCAGTAATGTTCCGTAGATTTCTTTTAAAACGCTTGTGCTTAAATCACTCGCGGAATCTCTTCATCCGGAGATTTGAGCTGCAGGGCAGCACCCCGCACCCCGAGGCCTGCCTTGGCCCTGGCTAGAAGGTGCAGCACAACTTTTAACCCTGGTACTCCCTGCTACCTTTAAACGCCCTGCGGCCTGCGGAGGGTGTGGGGTTTCTCCGTTGCTTCGTGTGGACACCCTAGCCATGTGTGGACTTGAAATCATTTTGGCGGGCCCGTCGGGGGCCCCACATCAGGAAACCAGGCCTCAGAAGGCAAGTCAGGAGGATCTGGGGTAGTGCCCAAGCCTGAGGGCTCCACACACCCCGCCCCAGCCTGGAGGTGGCCCCTGGCCAGGGTCTGCAGGGCCGAATCTGGGCTCGTCCCTCGGCCCCTGTGGGGAGGGCCACAGAGCCAGAGGGCGGTGAGGATGCGAGCTGGCTGCTCCCTCGAGCCCTGGGAACATCTGAGACCCCACGGTACTGCACCCCGTGCACCCCGCCTTCCGCCCCAGGAGGAGCCGCTCTGTGTGTCTCCCTCAGGGCTGCTTTGCCTTTATCTTTCTCCCGCTCTCCCTGTGGAGGTGCAGCCCAGTGGGCCTAGGGCTCAGCTCTTGGGGGGCAGGGCCTGGGGGGCACGCCTGGTGTGGGACACCAGGGGAGGACACCCCTGCCTGGCCCCCACCCTGATCTGTCCAAACCTCCCTCTTGGTGACGATTTCTCTTGGACCGCTGCCCAGTGGTGCTGAAGGAGAAAAGTCCGTCTTTGGGCCACCAGGATCTCTGGTTGCCTGATGGCTTCAAGTTCGTTCCTGTGTTTAAGGGACAGCCTGTGTGTGGCTTCACGTGTAATGTCTTCGTGGAGCTGCCTGGAAGTTTGGAGGGGAATAAACAAAATACGCTTCTCTCTTGGTGTGGACCTCACAGTCCTTCCTCGGGGTGTGGTGACCTTTCGGGGCTCCGGGCAGGGCCCTGACTCACCAGCACTTCTCCCCAAGGCCCCGAAGCTGTGAGTGCAGACTGGGAGGAAGTCCCAGCAGCCGGCACTGCCCAGGGCTGTGCCCCCAGGTGTGGGCCTGTCAGGCCGCCCCTCACTGAAGTCCCCTTGGGATGCAGGGAAGCCAGGCTCCGCAGACCCCTCACTCCCAGGGACGCAGCCCGAGAAGCACTCAGCTCTCACACCCCACAGCCACTCAAGGAACCTGCCCTGGCCTGGGCCAGGGGATGAACAGCCACTGGAGGGGGTCAGGATCTCAGAAGGCTTCCTGGAAGAGGGGACAGCCAAGCTGAGTTGAGGGGTGTGGCTCTCTGATTGCAGGCTCCCTACCAGGAGTTTCCCTGCAGTTTCCCCAAATCTTCATTGCAAACCTCTGGGGGTGGAGGGGGTTCCAGATAGGGGGTCTAGCTGGTCACAGATGAGCTTCTGATAGCTTTAAGCCCTGGGGCAGAGAGGGGAGGGGGCAGGCGAGGTTTTAGTGGCCACTCTAGGGGGAGTGGCACATGCCCATGGGCACAGACCAGGGCAGGGAGATGGCCAGGACCCACTTCTCAGAGCCGGGCCCTTGGAGCATTGGCACTGCCCATGCAGGCGAAGCTTAGGCTGGTTCCAGCAGGCACAGTATCTGCTGGAAACAGGAAGTGGCCGGCTGGTGCCTGACCACTGCGACCTCCCTGGGAGGGCAGGCCACTCTCCTCTGCTTCCCAGCCCCTTCCTGAGGGAGCAGCACCCCAACAACACCGGGGAGGTAGAGTGACCCTCAGCTGGTCCTGGCTGCAGCCACAGACCAAACGCAGGGGACATTCTCCACTGCATGCAGAGCAGCTTCATCCACACTCCGCCTCTCCCTCTGCATCTCGGTCAACAGCTCTGCCATTCGCCCAACTGCCCAGGCTGACCACCACCACCACCACCACCGGGGAGTCCTCCTGGGTTCCTTTGTGCTCGAGGCCAAGCCATCTGGAAGTCCTGTCCATCCCACTCCTGTGGCCCTCCACTCACAGCTCCCAACACTCAGCAGCTTCAACCCTCCAGCAGCTGGGGGCACAGGATAAAACTCAGGATTGCACTCTAGATAGAACCCCAAATCTGGACAAATCCCCTGTAAGAACCCAAGTTCCACTCTCTGCCTCAGTAGCTCCACTTCAGACCTTCTAGTCTCTGCTGCTCCTCAGAGAACCAGCCAAACTTGTTCCTGCCCTGGGCCTTTGCACATGCTGCCTACTAAGCTCTTCCCCTGACCTGTGTGGCCAGCAGATCCTCCCCTCCTTTGAGCCTCAGCTCTGGTGTCCACTTCTCAGAGAGGCCTCCTTGACCACCTCAACCTGTCGCATAACCTTTATGAAAATGATCATTGATAAAAATCATTTGCTATCTGCCTTTCCCCTGGGGCTGTGAATTGTCTGTAGGCAGGAAGTGTATCTACCTTATCACGGCACCCTCAGGTCTAGAGCGGACCAAGTACATAGTAGTTCAATAATATGTTAACGCTTGAAGCTGTGCTCTGACCCCCAAAAATGGGTCTCTCTGTTGGAGGAATTTGCCTCCTGTCAGTTGAGAAGACACCTTTTTTTCCATCTCACCCCGGGAGATCACTGTACCCGTTGGGGTGAGAGACTTTGCCTAAGGCAGTGGCAACAAGATGAAGGGAGGTGAGAACAGGTTTGCGTTCGGGGTGGCAGTCACAGCACCTTCGTGGGAGGCCCCTGTCCCACTGCCATGGACCTCCCTTACATCCCGGCAGTGGCAGCTCTGGGAAACCTTGCGATCCACCACTCACCATCCCATCGCTGCCTCCTTGGGAAGACAGATATGATCTTCCCCACCAGGTGGTTTAAAATCAATCCAGTTGACAGAGAGTTAAATCTGCCCCCCAGCAACCCCGAAACACTGAGTTTAGGCAACGCAACCACAGGATCAGTTGGTTAGTGATGTACTCAGTCCAGATGGAAGGACCGCCTGGGTGATGGAGCTCGCTGCAGGCCTGAAGAGTGTTCGCTTCTCACCTTTCCCCTCCAGCCCTCTTCCCACTGGGCAGAGGACCCCAGAGCACACTGGCGGCTGGCGGGGAGATGCGGGACCAGGCTCCTGAGAAGTCAGACCGCTGCCGTGAGAGAGGCAGCCCGAGACAGCAACGCGGGACCTCAGGCTGCAGGATGCTGGCAGGCCAGCCCAGTTGCTAGGAGACGGAGGTGAGTGTGGGAAGGATGACGCGGGCCGTGTGGGCAGGGCTGGAGCCAGACCTGGCAGGCAGTCCAGGGGAGATGAACATGGAAGGGCAGATCCCATCTGCAAAGTCACCAAGAGCACAGAAAGAGAGCTGAGAGAACATGCTGCCTCCCCTGTTCCAAATAAGTCGCACTCAGTCATAGCGGGAGAATCTCCAAGGCTCAGCCGGGCTGTGGCTTGTTTGGGGAAATGTTGGCTCCATCATCTCCCTGCTCCCCTGATAGTGTGGCTTCCAGAGCTGAGAAGATGTTTCAGGTAAGCACATTAGGGCTCTGCTGAGTGGGCAAGCAAGAGGACCCATGTTCTTCCTTAGGGTGGAGAAAGCATCCTGGGGTGGGGGCGGTGGGGGGGAAGTTTACATCTGCCCAAGTTCTGAAAAATAAAATGTACTGGGAAACAGATACCTGCACACCCATGGTCACAGCAGCACAAGTTACAGAAGCCAAAGAGTAGAAACACCCCATGTCCATTAACAGATGATGGATAAACAAATGTGGTCCACCTAGACTGTGGAATATTACTCGGCCTTAAAAAGGAAGGAGATTCTGACACCTGCTACAACATGGATGAACCTTGAGGACATGATGTTCAGTGAAATAAACCAGACACACAAGGACACATACTGTCTGATTCCACTCATAGGCGGTCCCTAGAGGAGTCAGATCCACAGAGACAGGAAGCAGACGGTGGGGCCGGGGCTGGGGGAGGGGCTGGGGAGTCAGTGTTTCATGGGGACAGAGTTTCAGTTTGGGAAGATGAGAAAGTTCTGGAGATGGTGGTGGGGATGTTTGCACAACAATGTGAATGTGCTTAATGCCACTGAGCTGTGCTCTTAAAAATGGTTAAGATAATAAATTTCATGTCTATTTTAACACAATAAAAAAATTTATAATGCACTAGGTTTTTCCAATTACGAAAATCTTGAAAATTTCAGAAAAGTGTAAGAAGGGAAACAAAGTCACCCACTGTCAATGCTCTGTGTTTCCGTCCAGTTTTCTCATTTCCTGCCCTCTTGGTTATGGTTGGGCTGTTTATACAATTTTGATTCCTCCTTTTCTTCACTTGACATTATAACAACTTTGGTTTCCCAGTTGTGTTCTCAGTGTACTTAGAAATACTTTTCCTAGTTTAATTCTTCTGGAGACCTTTGGAGACAAATCTTTTATTATTATTATTGTGGTAAAATACACAATATAAAATTCATCACTTTATTTCAAAGTGTGTGACTCAGTGGTTTTTGGTATTTTCACAGCATTGTGTAATCATCATCACTATTTAATTCCAGAACATTCTGTCATCCCCAAAAGACTCCCCTCCCCATCCCCATGAGCAGCCACACCCATCCCTCTCCCCCAGCCCCTGACAGCCAGGAGCCCCCTCCCTGTGTCTGGGGACTGGCCTGTTCTGGACATCTCATGTCCATGGAGTCACACACTGTGTGTCCTTCTGTGTCTGCCTCTCTCACTGAGCATCGTGCTCTCAGGGTCCATCCACGTGGGAGTGGGTGTCAGTGCTTCATTCTTTTTTATGGATGATAACATTCCAGTGTGTGGATGGACTACATTTTACCCATTCACACTCATGAACCTTTTCTTTGTGTCATTTCCACTTTTTGGCTACTATGAAGAGATGTAAATTTTAATAGCTGTGTAATATTCCACCAGATGAATGTCCCCTGATTTGCTTAACTGTTGGACATTTAGATGGTTTTCAAATTATAAATTATCCCTCGGCAAACATGTCCCTGAACATTTGGGATCCTGTCCCTCCCACAGATGCCCGCAATCAAAGGGCATGAACGTTTCAAGGCGCTTGAAACTTCCGTGTACAGAACTGTGCTCCTTCAGAGTTTCGTGAGCTTCCCCCTCCCCCACCGTGAATGAAGGCACTCCATTCACTGCCCCCAAGTCAGGTGCCCTCTCATGCTCAAAAATGCTTTTCTGCACATACGTTTAGCAGTCAGGTTTCATTCTGCAACGTCCCATGTCCTCAGCCACCGTTCTTCCGTTTTCTCCTTCACTCACCATGTGTTGGTTGAGCAGCTGTTCTGTGCCGTGAGCTGTCCAGTCCGGGGGACTCCCTGTGTCTTCCACTGAGAAGGTTGAAGTGTATTCCGTATTCAGTCAGAATACACACTGCCTTCCTTGGGAGAACCCAGAGAGGAACTGGAGTTGTCACTTCGCGCAGTGAGGGTGACTCTGGCCCTTTACACATTAGCCGTGGGGTGTCACCTCCCTGAGTCTCTGTAAAGTTGGATTAAAACCCAGAGCACCAATCTTGCAGAGTTGTGGGGAGAATTCAGCAATAAATGTCATTTTTTAAATGCTTGCTGCCCAGAAAGATTCAGCCTCAGGGACGCAGACACGGTGGAGGGCAGGGGTGAGGGTGAAAACTGGTGATTCAGATGGAAGCCGCATGCGGAACAGTGACACTGGCCCCCAGGCCGTGAGAAAAGCCCTACAGATGCCGCTGATGTCCGGTGACTCCCCGACAGAGCCAGCCCCCCCCACAGTCCCTCCACAGTGAAGCCACCTCCTGAAGAGGAGCTTCTGGTCAGCTCTGTAGCCCTCCCCTCATAGTGTTAGCCAGTGAAGAGACAAACCCAAACAGAGGGGGGAAAATAACATGGAGGAATGAGACAATGAGAACAGAAGAAAGCAGTTCTAGAAAAACCCTTATGT